ATGAGACAGATAAATAAATAAATAAATAAATAAATATATATGTATATATTAATTTTAAGACAGAGAGACAGATATAAGGAGACAGCGAAAGAGACAAAAGGAGACACACAGAGAAAGACAGAGAATAAGAAATAGAGACAAAGAGACAGAGACAAAGACAAACAAAGATAGAGACAGAGAAGGCAGAGAGCAAGAGAAGCAGCAAAGAGACAGAGACAAAGACAAACAAAGATAGAGACAGAGAAGGCAGAGAGAAAGAGAAGCAGAGAGATAGAGACAGAGACAAAGACAAACAAAGATAGAGACAGAGAAGGCAGAGAGAAAGAGAAGCAGAGAGATAGAGACAGAGAAGGAGACAAAGACAAAGACAAAGAGAGATAGATAGATAGAGAGAGAGAGAGACAAAGAAGTAGTAGGAGACAAAGACAAAAGGAGACAGACAAAGACAAAGAGAGATAGATAGATAGATAGATAGATAGATAGATAGATAGATAGATAGATAGATAGATAGATAGAGAGAGAGAAAGAGAGAGAGACAAAGACAAAGACAAAGAGAGATAGAGAGAGCTAGAGAGAGACAAAAAAGAAGTAGAAGGAGACAAAGACAAAAGGAGACAGACATTAATATTTCCTTGAATGCAGAACGCTTCAGACAAATGAAGATGCGCAATTTCGTCGTTCGGATTTATTAGTAGAACTTTTTGATGCAGCGAAGTCGCAGCAAATATATCTCCTTGATTAAAAAACACTTGTCCTGATCCGAACAAAACATAAAAAACAGATGGATATAGTTATTACTTTTTATTTGTGCTGTAATGTTATTTTCAGTCTCTATGGCTGTATGGCTGTCTCCCGATAGCAGATATATCAATATAATATTATATAAGAGACATCTATCTATATAATATAATCAAAGAGAGATATTTATATAATAAAAGAGACAGATAAATATTTTAGAGGAGACAGTTAGAGAGAAGATAATAGAAGAGACAAATAAAGATAATATATAATAATATACTTAGTAATAATGACAATAATTATATAATAATAATAATTATTATTATTAATAAGAGACAAATAGAGGAGACAATAAAGGAGACATCAAAGGAGACAAATAAAGAGACGCTGAAAGAGACAATAAAGAAGGCGAAGAAAGAGATAAGAGAGCAGATAACGAAGGAGACAAAGAAATAAACCCTTAAGAAGAAGAGCAGCAGCAGCAGCAGCACAACCACCACCACCAACAACAGCAGCAGCAACAGCAGCAGCAGCAGCATCATCATCATCATCAGCAGCACCAGCAGCAGGATCAGCATCAGCATCATCAGCAGCACCACCGCCACCATCAGCATCAGCAGCAGCATCACCATCAGCAGCAGCATCAGCAGCAGCATCAGCATCAGCAGCATCAGCAGCAGCAGCATCGGCAGCAGCAGCAGCATCAGCAGCAGCAGGAAGCAAAGCCTGCCTAGGTTGTTGAGTAGAAGCGTATCCTCCGGCATCTCTTTTAGAAGAGTCTTAAAAATGTCTGCGCTGGCCTCCCACTCTTCACGATAGAAAAACACCTAAAAGAAAAAGGAGACACATCAAAAGGAGACAGTTTGCTGCTTCTTGCTGCTGTCTCCTTTGTCTCTATCTTTATCTCTGTCTCTGTCTACTTCTCGTTCTCTTTCTCTGTCTCCTTCTCTATCTCTATCTCTGTCTCTGTCTTTGTCTCTGTCTCCTTTATTTTTATCTTTGTCTCTGTCTCTGTCTTCTTCTCTGTCTTTGTCTCTGTCTCTGTCTCTGTTGTGTTAAATATATTTATGTAGATAATTTTAATTACTGTATTTATTTTAATTGTCTTTATAATAACATTTGTTTAAACTAATATATTAATATAATATAATATAATAATAATATACCTGAGCGAGGTGTAGCTTAGCGAGTATATTGTTCGGCTCAAGAAGGAGACAGCGTCTTAGTAAGGAGACACATCGTTCTGTATGAAGGCGGATAAGCAGCAAACGTTGCTTCGCACTGTCTCCTTTTGCATGCGTGCTGCTGCTGCTGCTGCTGCTGCTGCTG